ATGGCATGCATTTTCCCTTCCATTTGTCCTTGCTTGCTTTTTCATTTATCTGCTCTTTTATATACCAGAAGAGATTAAGACACATCTTAGACTAACAATGCTTCAATAATATGACAAAGACAATCCATTCTTGATTGGAATTATAACTACAAGTATCAAAGCACACCAAACCCATTGCTACTATGTAGGCCTGACTGCAGTGCAATGAATTACTTCACATGACTCTTCTACCTAGAGCTTTTTTCCTGCTAGGTTTGAGTAGGGAGACTATACTGATAGACTATTCAGTTGTGAGTGTTAACAGTGTTCATTGTTATTTTAAAATTCTAACCATAGAAGAAGTAGAGCCAGGAGTACAGCATGCCCTTTGACACCAGAGACTGCTAAACATTTGAACCTCCTTGACCCAGGGACAGAAGGCTGCGACATTGGAGGAGTGGCAGATGAACAGTAGCAGCAGAACCAAGAACCAGAGCACGAGACAAAGCAGTGGGCTTCCCATTCAACTGAGCAAGTTGGCTTTCTTGAAGAGTGGAGTGTCACCAGGCACTTCATTGGGGGTGGGGGAGGCTAAGTTTACTAACCGACAGAGCTAGAGCTGAGTGCCTACAGGCTAAGGCTTATGGTGTTATGGAATGCGGTGTTCTATGGGTATTTATTGTTGTTGTTGTTAAGTGCCATCGAGTCGGGTCCGACCCATAGCGACCCTGTACAGGGTTTCCGAGGGTGTAAATCTTTACAGGAGTAGAAAGCCTCATCTTTCTCCCGCGGAGCGACTGGTAGTTTCGAACCGCTGACCTTCAGGTTCGCAGCCCGATTCGTAACCACTACGCTACCATATGCAGCCCTTAAAGAGCTCTGTAACACTGACGAAGCAGAGAAAGGCCTGCCTCTGGACATGGCTGAGGATGGGCTCTCCTAATTGAAAGAACTGTGCCCAGAGCATTTCTGACCATGAAATTGTAGCTTGTTAACTTCCTTAATAAGTCCCATAAAGGTGATTATTGTCCTTGAGTGCTGTATGACCATGGTAATGAATTATCAAACCCAGCTGACTAGAGAGGGCTATAGGAGGAATGCCTGGCACCACATTTTTTTTTGTAGTTGGTGTCAGAAGTGGGATGCATTGAAATGACTACAGATTCATTAAAGTATAGAGTTTTGTAATGGAAAGGAAGAAGGTATATGGGAAGTGAAACTACTGATTCTTAAAAGTTTACTTTGATGGTTGTTAACTGTAATGGTTGAAAGAAATGTAAAAGATGTTATGCCACTACTGAGGGCAGAAAAGTTGCTATTGGAGTCATCTGGGGCAAACGTCTGACTGGTTAAACAAGATGACAAGAGGCTAGCATCTACTTGGTCCACTTTGCCAGCCAGACGCCAAAGCATGATGGGGTGATTACTGGGTATCTTACTAACAGAGCTTGTAAGCCCACCTTCAGCCTATACTTGACTGGATATACTAAAAGGAGAGGTTGAAATTGCCAGGAAGAATTAGGCTTTGTAGAGTAAGGTGCATAGGTGGAAACCTGAGCCCCACCTAAAACTGCAGAGAGAATAGAAGACTTACCTGTGAAGGAAAGACCTGAAGAAAGAAAAATAATTGGCACTTTGAATTTTGAAGAAGCAGTTTGCTAATGGATGCATCAAAGCAGGAAAAGTCTATACCCACCAGAGAAAATCCCATTTTAGGACTGAATGTTACAGGAATCTGGTAAGCAGATATGCTCGCTGGTGAGTGCAAGCAAGGGAATTAGCAGTGATAAAGAGACACGTTCAGCTGGTGTGAAGTTTAGTGAGCTGTGTGGACTCCTGAGCCTATGAACACTGATCTAACCCCGGGGGGCTATTGGGCTCAGAGAGAGAGAGACAGTGAAGGGACCAGCAGGTCTGAAGTACAGGAATGTGTATGTGGACTCTCAAGCTTGCAACTGGTACCCATTTGATCCAGCTAGAACGACTAACTACGGTTGAATTGAACAGAACTGGGCTTAACGAAGAGAGAGATGTGTCACACAGAGCTAGTATAAACTGTTGCAATTTTGATGACCTGCTCTGGGCTGAACTTTGCTTATGGATGCAGATGTTCAAAGTTCCAATAAGGACCGAAGATCCTTCAGATAAAGAAAACACATTTGTCTCCTCAGAGTACTGGGTTGATAGGAATGGAAAATTTAGAAATTGGATATCTGAAATGTTAGGTAAAGACCCTAAGTGGCTGGTTTACAAGCTTTCCTGGGTGGGCTCAGTTAAAATGATTGATATGGGAAGAGTGAATCCTTGAAATATGAAAGGGTAAATGGCAGAAGAGCTAGGGGGTGGCCTGCAGTGTAGTGAATTACTTCATATGCACTGCCTCCTAGAATAGCCTCAGAGGACTTCTAAGCCTATAATCCTTACGAAAGCAGACTGCACCATCTTTCTCCTATTGAGTGGCATAGGAGTTCCGATTGTCAACCTTCGGTTAGCAGGTGAGCGCTTAACAACTGTACCACCAAGGCTTCCCCACAGATATTACTGTTGTTGTTAAGTGTTGTTAAGTGGCTTCCAATTCATAATGAATTTGTACAAGCTTCTGAGGAAGTGCTGGTGGGTTTGAACAGCTGACCTTGCAGTTAGCAATCCGGTGCTTATCTTACAGTGCCACACCAGAACTCCACACACAGGTATAGGTGAATTGGAGACACAATTTGACCCATAACAGGCTACATATTGTCCTAAGAAAATTAATTAAAATATACTCTAAATATCCATTACAGTAAGTATTTGTTGTTAAGTGCTGTCGATTCGATTCTGATCCATAGCGACCCTGCATAGGGTTTCCGAGGAGCAGCTGGTGAGCTTAAACCAATGACCTTGCAGTTCAAACGGCTTTGTAGTCTGGTGCATTAACCCACAGCACCACACTAGGACTCCACAGTAAGTATTTAATGTTTTATAAATAGGAGCAACTACTTGGCTAGGTCAAGTTTGTTAACTTAACAAAAGGAGGAAGCCATTTGAAAATCACAGTTAGGTTAGGGCAAACTGGTGAAGCTGAGAAAAGCACAAGAGTAAGATTCAGTCGTGTATATTTCATTTTAGGTTCAGCCCTCAATAAGCTCACAGTGTGGCCTTTGGATTTCTGCTTGCTAACTTGTGAAATAAAAGGGTTGGACAAGATGACTTAAAAAGTCCTCCACAACGGCTATTTTGGTCAGATTCTACATTTTCTCTCATTGAATGTGAGGCTTCTGTATCCCTTTATTAAGTCATATACCTCATCTAAAACTGAGTCAGCATCCAAGAAAATACCTCAAATACAAATTTATTAAACATGAAAAGCAATTTCTAGTTTGTTTGTTGTTGTTGTTGTTTTTTAAATTCATTCTAGCCATAGGCAGTTAAAAGGGAACTGGTATGCAATCGGGTACCATATTTAAAGATAATTTCTAAGCAAACGTTCTATTGACACGTCCTCTCACTGCCTTAGAGAGCCACTGAGGAGAGTGGATGAAAACTCTTTTTCTGATTCACTGTGTCCCTAAATAAGTGGAAAAGACTGGGAATACAGAACTAGGAATCGAAGTGTTTCCTGTTTTGATGACAGATGAGCAGGCTTGCAGTATGAGAGTCAAAGGAGGACATACAGATATATATGTCCTGCAGACACTCACCGCTTCCCTTGATCACCATCAAAGCCTTTCACCAATATTATCAGACATGAATTCCAGTCCTTGGGTTGTTTGGAACTTGACATTCCTATACATTGGAATTCTCAAATATTAGTTGAAACTCTACCCAAATACATTCTCTTTTTCAAGGTAATAAAGTTGTAAGCATAAAAGCTCTTTGCTTAAGTAAGTAAATTTTAAAAATAGTGGGTTCCAAAATAAGCAGTTTCCACCATGTTTATCTATGCTAGATATAAATGTCTTCATATTTAGAAAGCCTACAAAGTGAAGTTCATCCTTTAAAATCTATTCAAATAGTGACTATGTCATATGGTCTTCTTAAGTAAAAGAAATAAAAATAAGTACAGTTATCAAAGGAAAAGATCATAAGGGTAAAGAAAGTTTCTTCTAGAAAAATGTAATACAGGGAAACCACCATGCCTTATAATAGAATCCACCACAGGCAGACCTCATCTGACAACTCAGGATTTACAACAATAACAAAAAAAATGTATTGGGGATTTTCAAATCAATATTTATCAGAAAATTTACTAGTAAATCATGCACTATATTTAGGAAAAAATATTTACAGTAAATAAAAATAATATCACCAGCACTGTAGAAGTTTATACTATAAAATAATTTTCTATGTTCTGCCACATCATTTCAATTGTGCATGCCTATGAAAATATAACTCTTCATGAGTTTTTAATTTAAGAAGTCTAACTTTTTTGGAATAGCACGAAGCAGTGAAATACCTAGGGAAAAGACTACGGCAGCCACAAAGAATGGCTGTCATAGATGAAATTGTTATCGTAGATCTATAGAATATAGCGAAGCAGAAGCGGAGAAATGTATGAACTAGACTGAACTTCTTAAAAACAGCAGTTGGAAAAGTTCTCTTAATAACTATGCACGACACTAAAATAGCATTTCAACTGGTGAATACTGAAGTGATAACACACATTGCAGCAACTGATTTTATAAGTTGTGTGACAGGGAAATTCTGCTTGAATTCTTTTAAAGCTTCCGTGGAATTTTATAAGGCTCCTAATGTCCATAAGTAATAAATAATCAACTAGACTGGACCAGGGATTAGCAACATCTTTCACTTGAAAAACAAATCATTTTAAAAACAGTTTTAAGATATGCCTAAAAACAATTTATTATTAAGAATAAATAGCAAATGTATTTGTTAACTCAAATAAAAATGCCCACAAAATTCTTCAGAAACCATTATGGTTGCTAAAAATATTATTATTGTCACACACATAAAAAATGAAATACAGTTTTACAAGTTCATAGTGACATAATAATCATAGAAAATAACTTGGAAGATCCTACCTTTTTTAGGAACCGGACTCCGTAGGTAAATACATAAAGGCTAAATGAAAATTTCCACCTGTAGAAAGTTAAAAATAAAATGCTATAATATTCATTTTCTATATTTCTCAACATTTTATAAAATATAAGAGAAGTAAAAAGTTCACTAGATTTGTACTCCACTAGGCATTAAATTAAATGAGTGAGTTCAGTATTAGCTGAGAATATACATTCAAATGAATTAGTATATAGATATAAAATATGAAGAAAAATATTTTAAATATTAATATGCATATTCACAATTTTAAATTTTCTTTCACCCAGTTTCTATCTTTGCCTGTTTTCTCATGTCTTTCTCTACCAGGTAAATTCATCTTGCTCATTATTCATCAAGGAGCTCTGGCAGCGTAGTGGTTACACATTGGGCTGCAAACCACAAGGTCAGCAGTTTGAAACTACAAGCCATTCCATGGGAGAAAGATAAGGCATTCTGCTCCTGTAAATATTTATAGCCTGGGTAACCCTGTACAGGGTCGTTATGAGTCAGAACTGACTCCATGGCACATAACCACCACCATTATTCGTCACCAAGGGTATGATGAATATACAACATAACTTTGAATTCTTTATCTGATTTACATAGTAAGTAAATAAGTTTTACTTAACTTCTGTTTATTTATTTATTTTTAATATTTCTGATGTAAAAAAGCCTCAATACTAGTAACCAAGCACTTTTCTTTGTCTTTTAAAAATATCATCAACATCTTTGTAGAGGTTCTTATAAGAAAAAATAAAGAATCAAAATCCTCCATCTGCCATACAATTGTAAATGAAAGCCTTAAACTATTCCAAATTGTGGATCCAGCTATTCAATTTTCACTTTTTTTAATTAGGAAAAATTTATAAATTTATTTTAGTTTTTAATAATTAAAATATTTTAGGTTTTTAAAACATAAGGTTACTACAGAAAAGACAAACAAAACTCTTTCCCTAATATTCAGATCCCAATTTTATTTCATGTAATTTCTGCTTATGTTTTAAAAACTGGCAAGAGTTCACCAAATGGCATTCCCAAGGCTATGTTACAGTGGTGGTGGTGTGCTGTTGAGTTTGCATAGGGTTTCTGAGGCTGTAAATCATTATGGGAGCAGAAAACCTCAACCTTCTCCCACAAAGCAGTTGGTGGGCTCAAACTCCTGATTTTACAGTCAGCAGCCCGATGCATAACCCATCATATTATCAGAACGCCTTCTGTTACTAGAGGTACTATAGATATAATAAGTTGTAAATGATCATAAAGTGAGCAGTCAGCTTGAGTCCATAAGGAAATAAATGGCTTTGGGTGCATACACAACATCTACAGATTTCAAATAACATAAAAAGAGAAAGTGATTTTAGGAGACTGAGTTAAACAACAGATACTTTCAGGTAGGAAGAAAAGAATAATGGCAAAGGGGCCTCTAAGAGTTGTGTAAAACCCAACAGCAGACACAAGTATCCCTCAGAGTTTCACAGGTAGATTCATTCCTGGGTTAACTGAATCTGCAAACGTTCTAGAATTCTAGTCAGAGCTAATATATCTAGAAGACATTTGAACTTTAGAGTTTAAAACCATCAACTAATAATTCATAAAACCTGCATTCTGAAAAGATTAATAAAAATGAATGGAAGAACTTTTCAGTCTAGGAGCGGAGGTCCCTAG